CCGCAACATCAGAAAAATAATACTTTACCTATCAATTAAAGTCTGTCGTCAGAAATCTCTGGTCTTCCTGGGACTGATAGTTAAAGGGTGGATAAATGGATATCCAGCGGATGAGTGTTATCTAAACGTGCTGCGTTATCCAGCCGATGAGTGTTATCTAAACGTGCCGCGTTATCCAACGGATGAGTGCTATCTAAACTTGCTGCGTCATCCAGCGGATAGAGATTTATCCAGTGAATAGTGATGTCCACCTTTTGAACAACTAGAACCAGAGACTTGTCAAATCACCTGACAGCTATACATTAAAACTCTGTTTAGTATTAACTGAAATCGAATTCCCGTCTGCCTGATTTATCACAAGGAACAAATAAACAAACAAAGAAACAGTCAATCAAACGACGTCATGCATAATCTGCTTATTTACTTTGTTTCTATCTTTCTGAGCGTGGAATTGAGGCTATCTACTCTCCGTAAGGCTCGTCCCGGGTTCTTTCGGCCAATCCAGTTCGTTTCTGCAGCTCTTCAAAAGTCATACCAGCCCATGCAATCTCAGACGGACCTTCTTGGTAGAACGGCGGAAAAAAAAGGTTTTATAACATTTGCAATTTTGAAAGTTGAGCAAAGAGAACCTTAAGGCTTCGGTCAGCTGATGGGATCATAAAAATCCAATCTTAACTTTATCTGCTGCATATCCCCTACAGAAATTTACACTGGTTAGAAAATCATTTTAAACAAGAAAAGAAAATGAGAATTGTGCAAAAAATAACGATGGCAAAGTCGTTTCCAGCTTGGGTTTCCCTTCCTCCGTCTCTTGGGGGGGGGAGGGGTGGGGAGGATAAGAGACTCCAGTAATGATGGAACGAGCAATAGGCCTCGCTTCCTTCTTTTCCCATCTTGAGCGTTCTCTACGTGCTTTTCGATTCTCTCTCACCAACCCATGGATAGGTTTACCTCTTACAGTAGTAAAGAGGAGAAAACCCCGCGGAGTAAGGGCATCCTCCTCTGCCTTCAGACAGAGGTGAATAACGTCTTGGCTTGCGCTAGGCTTTGGCGCGGAAAACGGATTTTGAGTCGTTTGCTCAGCTCCTTCCTGGAGAAGCACAGATCATTACAATGTTATGTCCAATGCAGCGATATTGACGATCTAACTAGTCCATGGACCAGAGGAGGTTCTCGGCACCACTCAAGGGGAGAAAATGTGAGTGTTATCTGATGAGAGGTTATGAGAAAGACTTTTCAATTTTACTTGATAGCAATCGTGAAAGAGAAGCTTTCACCATTTTTTGCGCATTCCTTCACGAAAACTTAAAAAAGCTGTACCACGCTTCCTTATTAAGTCACGGTTTATTTACTTTATTTAACGATTCCACTACAACGCTTCGGTTAACTCCCACACACAGCTCCCAGCTTGCTACAAAAGAACCCATCGTAAGCACGTGGAACAATGCCATATATGGGGCGATGAAACACGTGCCGCATACATGTTTGTTTGGTTATGTATAGGTAAACGAAATCACTTATAAATGTCGATCAATTTAGGAATAATTAGCATATCGTACAGTTTCCAACACTCTCCCCCATATGACTTGGAAACAAGGCATATGCACGTGGAACAGACTCTATAGCAAAACAAGAAATAAGTATGGATATAATGTTCCTTCGGTAACAACATTCAGGTATCTTGCTCTACTGTGTCCTGTATTCGCTGACGTGCTACCACAACAGCATCTCGTCGCGGCCGGAACTCCTCTACAGTTGGGTTCAAAGGTGTGTCATTGTAAGGTGTAGGGTTTCGGTCGCACGACAACTCCAGTGGGTAAAGATGTTGGATCAGGCGTTCCATGAATCCAACAATTATTAACCACGAACACATAGTGTGGTCTGGCTGAGATGCTAGTCACCACGGCTACAACTCGTTCAGAAGGTAAGTAATGCACTAGCTCTGGAGAGGATTGAAACTCTGTAATTTCAGAGATAACCAATCAGATGGATGGGCAAGCCAGATATAGTGGTGGCCAACAAAGCAAGAAGGCCTCGCTATACTGGAAACGAACTCGGTATTTAAATATTGGCTAGCTGTACCTTTTTGATGATGGAGATAAAATTTTGAAATAACTTGAAAGACAGTTTATTAACTGAGGGAAAAAACGGTTATCGGTTTCAACTTAAGCAATCACTTTTGTTTCCGAGGCGGAAACAAAAGGATTAACCTTATGGCAACAGCTACGTGAATCATGACCCTTTTAGTTTTTTTTGACAATCAACACGTTACCAGAGTTAGCAAGGGTACAAAGGAACAAGAATACAGATCGTAAGTACCATTCAGCTCGGATTAAGTTTCAAATTGTGCCATCTAATCGATGGTATACAAGACCCCTCGTTTTCCAAAAGAATTCAAAGTAACTACAATACGAAAGGTATGTTAAAATATCTGATCAAGCTGTATTACTTTAGATGCTACACAATCCCGTCGCGTGGCTGAGCGGAATCACAATATTACCGGAATGATTTGAGAAATTTTTTTATGTTCTTGGGATTTGGCAAAAAGGCAATATAAATTTTCTTCTGTGCGCGTCTATTGTCTAGTAGTATACTTCGTCTCCCACAGAAAATGACTCCGGAGATACGTTTCTCAAAACCTTCAGATAGATATCCTCTATTCTTTAAGCGTATTATGGAACTCTGTACGTTTTCTATTTGACGAGGAACGTGACGAATTCGTTCTTAGCAAGCGAAGGTCTTCTTTTATGAATCCCGTATTACGCCAGCTGGATGCTACGAAAAAATGTTCGTGTATCAGAAGGTCTCTGTCTCTTTGTAATGCGTTTAATATATAACTCGCGTCTAGAAATATATTTTCTGAATTTGTTGTTATAACAAGGAATTCCTTGAGCCATCGGCTGTGGATTATTATGCTATCATAAAAAAAAAACCAACAACAACTACCTGAAACTTCTTTTGTCATAATTGCTACCAAATTTGTGTCAGTTTTCTGGGCCTGCCATAATAAGTGAAAACTCTGAAGATTCAGTGTCTTGGTTACTTTATTAAAAGCAATTCCTTTCCAAGAGTTTCTCTGCTAGGAGTGTTTTAGGCAAGCCATATAGTAAACAGGTGAGCAGCACTGAACTTCTTAACTTGCTGCCAGAATAAAAAAAATTCTACTGAACTTAAAACAATTCAGGTACCTAATAGAAAATTTGTACTAATTTTGCAACAATAGTTACCCTCATCCATAATTCACAGAGAATAAGATAAGTCTAGAACGATAAATACTTAGCAAAAATACACGCATAAACTTGAAGAAGCGAAAGCTAGTAGGCAAACCACTGGGGCCATAAAATGTATTTGAACAACCAAAAGCGGCACACTGCTTTCCTTTCTTTTTGGGAGAAAAATTAGCTTTATCGAGATTTCGGCTAGGACCATCCATTTTCCTTAAAAATCGAACAATTTTACTGCCCACGTAGGAATTTCACCAAGAGCGCTCACAGAGATTTAGCATGAGCCAACCCCAGCCTCGTTCTCACGTGTGCGCGGTCACATGTCCAATATGGCGCTGGGAACTGTAAAAACAGCAAAGGTACAAAGGAACAGGAATACAGATCGAAAGTACCATTCAGCTTGAATTAAGTCCTAAATTGTGCCATCTAATCGATGGTATACAAGACTCCTCGTTTTTCAAAAGAATTCAAAGTAACTAAAATACGAGAGGTATGTTAAAATATCTGATCAAGCTGTATCACTTTGAATGCTATACAATCCCGCCGCGTGGCTGAGCGGAATCACAATATTACCGGAATGATTTGAGAAATTGTTTTTCGTTGGCCTAAAATAACTCAATATGAAGGCCTTTTGTGGACGAAGTGTCGAAAGCACGTATTTCGATTTTATGATTCATACACGTATGCAAAAGCAAAGCAAAAGCAGAGATGTTGTGTATAAGTTAATTATGTCTGATAAAACCAAAGCTATAATCATAAAAATAAAAGATGGTCGGTGAAGCTGAAACGATAGGACCTTCCGCTTTTCCCAACACACGTTAGATACATACACCTTATTCGATGGTTTAACATAAAATACAAGCGGATTTTTTTTTCACTGCCCGTAATTTTCCTCGCCCCATCCGATCGAGGCTCGGAAAAATAATTCACAACTCGCAAAATATCCGCGCGTATTATTATCGAATATAGTGTATGTATCGATGATGCACAGGGCGCATGCATATTCAGAATATAAAAGATGAAGAAGTGGAAGATGTTTAACTTATATGCAAAGTCCTGGCTTTTTGATTTATTTCAAGTAGCATTCATGTACAAAGCATAACATCGAAATACGTGCATTCGATAGATTGTTCACAAAGGACGGTTCTAATAAGACACCGGAGGAACATGTATTAATTAAAATGATCTATAAACTTGCCGCGTGACTAAGCGGAATCACAATATTACTGAAATGATTCGAGGAATTGTTTTTCGTGGGCTTAAAACAGCTCGATATGGTAAGGGCCAGGGTGCAATAGTCAATCACATATTTGTTTCAAACGGGCCATCAAGGCGAAAAAATACCACAAATGCGTCAAATAACATTTTATTTAGTTTTATAAAGATATTCAGACCGAGTTAAAATTAACATAAGCAATTTTCAGAGCTTTACTCATAACCTTCCTACCTCCTCATAGATTTTGTTCATCTCTTGTACATGGTGTGATCTGCCTGTGTTCGGAGAAGAAAACCTAGAAATGGATAACTCGCTATAATGTCTATACTGACCTCGTTTCAACATAGTAAGCGTTCAGACAATAAGCAATGCACTGTGGAAGTAATTGAGAATTTGACTGTAATTTAACTTCATAGGAGCGGTCGTAAATACAAACATACAAACTCTTACATTTTCGCTCTTACATTTTTTCGCAAGCACTAAATATCAGACAAACTGTATTGGGTGAAAATCATAAGAACACCGCTGAGAGCTACCTTTGGCTGGGACTTACCCAATATATGCTCATTGATTACAGCTCAGCCACTGAGTCACACAAGCGAGCACTAACGATCAGACAAACGGTATTGGGTGAAAATCATGAGAACACCGCAGAGAGCTACCATTGGCTGGGGCTTAACCAATATATGCTTAGTGATTACAGCTCAGCCACCGAGTCACACAAGCGAGCACTAACGATCAGACAAACGGTATTGGGTGAAAATCATGAGAACACCGCAGAGAGCTACCATTGGCTGGGGCTTAACCAATATATGCTTAGTGATTACAGCTCAGCCACCGAGTCACACAAGCGAGCACTAACGATCAGACAAACGGTATTGGGTGAAAATCATGAGGACACCGCTAAGAGCTACCACGGGCTGGGGCTTACCCAATATAAACTTGGTGATTACACCTCAGCCACTGAGTCACACAAGCGAGCACTAACGATCAGACAAACGGTGTTGGGTGAAAATCATGAGAACACCGCAGAGAGCTACCATTGGCTGAGGCTTACCCAATATATGCTTAGTGATTACAGCTCAGCCACTGAGTCACACAAGCGAGCACTAAACATCAGACAAATGGTATCGGGTGAGGATCACGAGAAGACTGCTGAGGGCTATCATTGGCTGGGGGTTACCCAATATATGCTTAGTGATTACTCCTCAGCCACTGAGTCACACAAGCGAGCACTAAAGATCAGACAAACAGTGCTGGGTGAAAATCATGAGAAGACCGCTGAGAGCAACCATTGGCTGGGGTTACCCAATATGTGCTTAGTGATTACACCTCAGCCACAGAGTTACACAAGCGCGCACTGAACATCAGACCAAAGGTTTTGTGTGTGAAGAACATAATAAGCCCATGAACTGAGGATATTGCACGAGACGCACTTAGCTTCTGATTAATGCAAGCATGTACTTGACTTTCGTTTAAAGTTGATGGAGGAAGAACGTGCGAGAACCAGTAAAGCGATTGTTAAAGAATTCGCGGACATTGTAGAGATTACACGAAATAGGTATTTAATTTTTTAGTTTACACAAGTTAGAAGAATACGCCTCAGTCAACCTCTTGACTTCACACCAGTCGTTTTGGAAAAAAAAAACATGCTTGAACCAGATGATCAAGACAATCCTAACATTCAAGACATAGGAAATAAATAACATTACTTATTAAGGACAATGCTGATTTTTGTTTACTTCCGACACACTAAACTTATATTACTGCTTGGTCAGGAGTACATCATCCAATCGACATACAACACAGAACTTCACCGAGAATACAATTTATTTTTCACACACTAACGAAAGTTACATTTTATAACCTTTGTACAATATGAGTTGATGGTAGCACTTCGAAATTAACTTCCGTGGGGCAGTGCCAAATTTTTGTAAGATAGCAATATTTCTACCACACCAAAAGACGAGACAGCTATTTGCTTTCAGATTAAAAACACGTTAGTACAAAAGTCATGTGAACGCTTACGGATCGCTTACCATGTAAACGCTAACCATTGAAAAAGTTACGTCACGATTTGAACATCTTTAAAAAATTAGCCAGAAATTTTCAAGTTCGTCATGAAAAAGAAATCCACGTCAGTCTTGTCCATTCTTAGCCATCTTTGTTCCTGTTTTATTTAATATTCATATTTTAGTTTTTTCCGATCATATCAGTCTATTATTTTGTGGTTTCCCGCACGTTGAAGATCATTAATTATGAAAACCAGAGATATCTTGAACAAACTCCAAAAAGTAGAGAGTTGACTTATATTAATTATATGTTTATGGTCTTCTCGTCAAAAATACCGTATTCATCAGGTCTGTAAAGTGAACCACTCATGGACGCTAAAGGTCTATTTAAAACCATTGTGATAAAATATCTGGCTGTCTGAAATGGTAGATGAAAACCGTTGTTATTAAAACCCAGGCTCTACTGAACTAGGAAACTCCCTGTCTTCAAAGCTTAGTTTGAAATAAATACCGAGAGTGTTTCGAGAAATTAAGACAAATATTGCATTATACAGCGCACATCGCTTGAGTGACGTAAAAGCAGAACATAGCGATCAATACATCCAATCAGAACAAAGAAAATTTTGCCAAAAGACAGGCTAAAACTGAAGCGCGGGAAACGCAAGTTCCGTTTCGCGATTGGTGTAAGTCTTGCACCTGACTGGTTGAAAAAGTGGCGCAATCCCAATTTACTTTGGGCATTAAATTGAAAATCTGTCTTTGCTTGATCGAAATGTTATGAGTTTGCAAACTTATCCACCGCTAGAGCCATGGACGTGTTGCACATCACGTCTTTCCTTGACGGAGACCAAATATTTCGGAAGGAACTTAAAGACACCAAGACTGATTAGAAGACATTCTTTAAATCGAAACTAAAAAGACTTGTTTTCTTGCTTCATCAAAGTATAACTCTGTCTCTTGAAATTCCGTTGTAACTTGTTCTGGATCCAATGCCGTCAAGTTCTCGCAAATACCCATCATCCCTTGGAGACATCAGGTCCAAACGAACTGCAGGCTCATGAGCAGAGGTTCCCGTGTTCGCGGTGCTTAACAAGTCCGAAAGTCTTTGAGGAGGTTCCCGGATTCTGTTGTACCCAGGCCGACTCTTTTCTAATTTGAGTCTCTCGAATTCGCGGTTTAGGAGTTTTCTTTCTTGTAAAAGTTGTCTCTCACGATTTAAAAGTGTAGTTACCTAAGAAAAAGCAATAAAAATGATTGGTGCCGGATGCCTTTGGTGTGAAAACAAATGAGGCCAAAGCCACTTTTTTTCAAAAATAAACAAAACTGAGATAAAATTTTATCTTTCTTCTTAGCGCCATTAGTTGTAAAACAAAAACCACAGTAACGAAAGATCGACGCATTCCCGGATTTCCTTAACCCTTTGAACCCCGAGACTGACCAGCATCTAATTTCTCCTTACAATATCACCCCCAATTCACACATTAAGGTCACGAGAAGGAAGAAAATGATCACCAACTAATGAAGCTCTTGATTAGTAAGCAGATTCTCCTTATCTTCTCCTTAGGAAATGTATTGAGAACAGTGTGGAGAATATGCATACTGATCTTAGGGTGTAAAGGGTTAAAGACTCAACTGAAAGTCTCTAAAAATTTTGCAATAACGATTTGAAAGACTCGAGTGATATGAAGTGAGTTGATTGTTTGGCTCTTTCACGGGAAAATAGTAACGAGGAAATAACTACATCAACAACAACATACAACAACAAAAAAATGTTTTGGTATAATAAAATAGGATAGCGCACTGCGTTATTTTACCTGAGAGCTTGCTGCATCTGCTCTTGTTTCTGCATCGACGACCATACTTTGAAGTTTCTCGTGAGAAAGCTTTGATGACGAAAGCTTGGACTCCAACTGCAAAGAGGTTAAAAGGAAAATAGAAGGTTAGCAGCCAGCGCAAAAATCTCTAAACAGCAAGAGCGGAACCTCTCCCTCGCGACGCCCCTATTTGAGGAACAAATATTTCGTCCTTATTTGACTGAAAAGGATGCTCGCGTAAGCTTCGTGTCTGCTAACATCAATGAAGAGACTCTTTTACTCAAGGGACACTTTTTCCTCTCCTGATGGTGTCCCATAATCCGAGTTTTTCCCGTATGAGGAACCATAAACACCAGAACTACTTTAACGTAAACTTTGACGAAAAGGCAAATGAAACAGATTTTGGAGCGCTCTCACTTTAGACACAAACAACAACAACATGTCTTTCCAATACTAAGAACGACAATCGCTTAAAGGCTATTGTCGAGTAGTACCTCCTCTCTCGCCTGCCTCTCCTCGTTCAACTGGCCATTCAGTTCATTATTCCTTCGTTTCTGCTTGTTAATCTCTTGTCTAGTAGAGAGAAGGTAAAAAAATAAAGTGAACACCTTTTGCTGAGAGGCGATTCAGAGTGTTTAAGACTGTTTTTCGCTTTTCTCCTTTTTCTTTTTCTAATGCAACTTCCATGAAAGTTGTTCTGCTAGAGACTGTTGTTTGAGAGGCGTTAGCGCTAATTCAACCCGGAGTTTTAGGTGTAAAATTGTACATTAGGGCAAAAATTTCTGGGATTCTATCTCACTGTGAATCAAAATTGAAGGGATTATAACTGTTTGCAAAGCTACAAAGATGAATAAAAAATCTATACTAACTCTAATCTTTTCCTCAGCCAATTTCTAGGCAATATTTTGTATAGTTTTCAATGTGGCGTAAGTTTTAAACCGAACAAAAATTATTTTAAAGAAGTATAAGTTGCTGTGGAAACCGAAACTTCGTCTTCGAAGAAGCGCCGTAGATTATGGACAACAGAAGGGCAATGGTTGTAAATTCTTATCATTATTTTTGTTCCTCTCCAAAGACTAGGCATGTAAGGAAAATAAAAACTTACCTCAACTCATTCACTGTTTGCTCAAATTTCTGCGTTACTGCTCTAGATTCCTCTTTCCACCTGACAGACCAAAGAGATCGACTTTTATTATACATCTAACACCTTCACAACAACGTCAGGTTAATAGCCATGGCGATGTAAGGGACATTCCTGATTAAGAACTAAATTCTCCTGCCAAGAACAAAAAGTGATTTGGACGCATCACGAGAGCCATATCTCAGTCAACAGACGAGGTGGCCGAGTGGTTAAGGCGTTGGACTGCTAATCCAATGTGCTCTGCACGCGTGGGTTCGAATCCCATCCTCGTCGTAAAGAGTTTTATTTTAAGACCTAAAGAAACACGCTAGAGCTTAATCATTTTTAAAAGCTGTTTGACTGAACACGGTAACACGTACTGTGCTCCAAGTTTCTGTTGTCCATTCAACATTTCTCTGAGTTCATTCACCGACTGTCTGTTCATCTCCTCCACGTTTCGAAGTCGTGATTCAAACTCTCTTTCCCGTTGCTCAAGTCGTTGATTGAGCGATGAAACCTGAAAAAAGATAAGGACTTCTGTTTTAAAGATACAGCGCAGAGGAATTATCCGCAGCCAAAAGATTAAGAACAATAAAAGAAAACGGAAAACTTTAACTTAATTAGTTTTTACGAGAAAGAAAATTGAACGATCTTTTTTCGACTGGGAACCCCTTTGACACAGTTCTGCTTCCATTTAAAATCACCCATGGATTTTGATTGGTCGACTAGAGCAATGTGAAAACATCACAAAGGTGGAAGTCCGTCCATTCTTTATTTATTTATTTATTTATTTATTTTTTAAAGTCAGGCAAAAAAGAGCGAAGTAAGGGAGAGACTGTGAAACAGGTGAAAAAAAAATTAATAAAAAAATTAATTAAACGTTCGTTGATGTTCTCTAGTTCTTTCCCCACCACATGGGGCTTGCGTTCTTTAAAACCCAAGACTCCCATTTCGTTCGCGTTCTCGACGATACCCAAAGAGAAAAGAATAGATCCGTGGACAAAATACAGGAATGGCGGAAACTATTCAAGAGATAATTGTGCCTTACTATAAAAGACATTTTACATAGATATTGAAAATACATAGATCCTGAATTAGGTTACGAGAAGGCAACAAACACTTTTTAAAAAAAATACCTCCAAAGTGCACTGATGTTCGGCGGTCTCTTTCGCTTGTTTGGCTTGGAGAAGTTCCCGTTTCTGTTTGTCTATTTCATCTGAGAGAGTAAGGAAATGAAGTTTACAGTAAAATGTTCTTCAATCGTGAAAACATGACTTCGTAAAATTAATTTTTATACTCTTCAAAATATTCTCGAAAATCAATTTATTAGTAATCGTAGTTAAGTCGGCAACATAATCCACTACGTTTGGGGAGGGGGGTGATAAGGGGGTGAGGGAGGGAGGGGGAGCTGGAAGGGACAGGCGCAAAGATAATTGATTAAATTTGGCCGCAACAGCAGAAAAATGATTCTTTACCTATCAGTTGAAGTCTGTTGTCAGAAATCTCTTCATTTTCTTCTTCTAGTTGTTTCATTCTCCTTTTAAGTTCGCCAATTTCAGAGACACCCTGAGATTTTTCTTGTTCGTGTCTAAAGGCAAAAGCATAAAAAAGTAGGTCGTACGTGGTAAAGTAAAACATACTCAAAGTGACCGAAAGTACAAAAACTGAGAGCACTTAAAGATTCACTACTAGAAAAAGATGGAAATTGAAATGATGAAGGAATAAATATCGTCTTCCTGGGACTGATGGTTCAATATCCAGCGGATGAATAAACGTGATATCCAACGGATGAGTGTTATTAAACTTGCTGCGTTATAAATGTGCTGCTTTATCCAGCGGATGAGTATTATCTAAACGTGCTGCGTTATCCAGCGGATAGAGATTTATCCAGTAATTAGCGATGTCCACCTCTTGAACAACCGGGATCAGAGACCTGTCAAATCCCCTGACGGCTATACATTAAAGCTCTGTTTAGTGTTAACTGAAATCGAATTCCCGTCTGCCTGATTTATCACAAGGAACAAATAAACAAACAAAGAAACAGTCAATCAAACGACGTCATGCTTGATCTGCTTATTTACTTTGTCTCTATCTTCCTGAGCGTGGAATTGAGGCTATCTACTCTTCGTAAAGCCTCGTCCCGGGTTCTCTCGGCCAATCCAGTTCGTTTCTGTAGCTCTTCAAAAGTCATTCCAGCCCGCGCAATCTCAGACGGACCTTCTTGGTAGAGCTGCGGAAAAAAAAGGTTTCATAACATTTGCAATTGTGAAAGTTTAGCAAAGAGAATCTTATAGCTTCGGTCAGCTGATGGAGTCGTAAAAATCGAATCTTAACTTTATCCGCTGCATATCCCCCACAGAAATTCACACTGGTTAGAAAATTATTTTAAACGAGAAGTGTGCAAAAAAAAAAAAAAAAAACGATGGCCATACTGTTTCCAACGTTTCCCTTCCTCCGTCTCTTAGGGAAGGGGTTGGGAGGATAAGAGACTTGAGTAACGATGGAAAGCGGTAGACCTCGCTTCCTTCTTTTCCCTCTCCAGCGTTCTCTACGTGCTTTTCTTTTTCCCCTCACCCACCCATGGATAGTTTTACCGCTAACAATGGTAAAAAAAAGAAGAGAAAACCCCGCGGAGTAAGGGCATCTTTGTCTGCCTTCACAGATTATGTTGAAAAATTGAGCCCGCAATTCCAGAGTTCGTGGTCCGAAGTTCTCGTAAATATTTCCCACCTTTTACATCCGGTTTACTCTTAACCCTTTAACTCCCTAGAACTGATTGTTAATTCTCCCCTCTAGCTGCTACACATTGCCTCGTATATCAGTTACGAGAATTTGGTGTTAGATCAAGATGACAACTTCAACCTGATAAGTCTGAGTATTCTCATTACCTTTTTGCTGGAAAATGTTTGGATGTTATGAGGAGAAGTTACGTGATAATCACTTCTGGGAGTTAAAGGGTTAACTTTCAGGGTTTTTCCAACCCTGGTAGACGATAACTCAAAAGTGGTCTGCTATCCAAGGCAAATATCAGAATTAAGTGCCTTGAAATACATTTTCCTACCATAACAGAGAGAAATAACTTGTAGAAGCCTCACCTTTTCAAGTTCTTTTTCCACGGCGGCCTTCTCCCTTAGTGATCTCTCTAACTGAGCTTGTTTCTCAGCTCCTTCCTGGAGAAGCACAGATCAGTACAATGTTATGTCCAATGTAACGATAACAGGTTAGCACTTGCATTTTATCATCTAGTTTGGTTTTAGTGTTTGATACAAAACTGTAATGTCAGTTTTTTTGAGCTGATAAGCTGTCCTTTGGAGTAAAAGCGAAGTAACAGTACGACGCAATTGTGTTTTGGGGGAATTCGATTAGAAAAGATACCACTAAAACAACGATTAGAGTGCGTGACATAATCATTATTTCAAGTGGTTGCGTGACGACAGACCAAAAGGAATGTCACACAATAATCATATGTAACATTCGTTTCAACACGCAAATAAAATTTAAAAAACTAAGAAATCTAAACTTAGGAATTAACTCTTGATGTTCATTTTAAAACAGAGAAAAATAATCACATCGGGTTAAAATACAAAAGATTTTGTATTTACTTCACGTGTCAGATCACAGCCATAGCTTATTCATCAAATTACCCGGTCAAGAATCGTACTTATAGCAGAAAATAATCTGTCACTGAAATAGTAGTCTTCATGCGTATCGCTAAATAGCGAGAAAGAAGAAACTGAAGCGATTTATCGAAACCGACGACCGAATGTTTATAAGCGCATTATGCAAATAACTTGACAACGCGTCCGGAAAGAAAAGGAATCGAATACGATGAAAAATGTCCACACATCAAAATCGAAATCGAATTTTGGTCATAACATAACAAAGGAAGAATAAGCATGCTCGTAAATTCCAAAGAAAACTGCTCGACCATCCAAACCAACGGAGTACATGACGTTCGTGAAATAGTAACGAACAGTAACGAACTAACAATTCTCCTAAATTCAACAGAAAATTAAATTTTAACACAAGCGCTTAATTACCGGATAATATTCAAAGATCCACTTCTTGTCTCTTGTGCGGGCCGGAGAAGTTTCCATATCGCCAAAAGAGTGGTCTAAAGACAGTTAGTTTTTCACTATTTCATACCTGGAGCGACTTTACCGCGTCCCTCGCGAAATGTCAATAAAAAGGCTTTCAAATGCGAGTGGCATGTTTGATGTCATCGGCAAATTAACCGGCTTAAATATTAGCCCGCACAGATTAGTAGAGTTTTTCCGGGAATATTTTAGAATTCTGGACACAGGATAACAAAAATTCTTAAAGGAAAAATGAAATAAAGAAGATAAGTGCAGTAGATATATACTTGGAAAAAATAAGTGGATAAGAAATTACATGACTGAGAAATGACCCTTTGTTGTCGGCTAAGACAGTGCGTAACTATTTTCCGTAAATCAACTCTTAACGCTTCAGTGAATTCATACAATGCAGCTCTTTGTCATTTTCCTTTTAGGGGAAGAAAAAGTGTACAAAGCGAGGGAAGGACCATTTTTATTGCCCTATTGGATGCTGGTGGTAAAAACCACGTAATTTTGTCCGAGAAGACTTTCAGGTGGTACCACTCATACAACAGAGTACACCACCTGACAAAAAATGTAATTTCCCTTTCGATGTTTCGTCTGCACCCTCAAGCGGCGAGGTCTGTCACAACCCAATCACCACAGCCACAAAAATCTATATTTAATTACCTAAACACCGTTCGGGTAATCGTAACGGTTAGTGATCAGAATAAAGGTAAAGTATCAGAGTCATGTTTTTTATTCGATCACATTTGCTCTCTGATTGTGTCCGGGTAAAAAACGGAATAATTTCCTCTTGAGGTATTTTCGCTGGTAATCAATCTACACCACTTTCTGATATTGAAAACTTGGTACAAGCAGTCATTAACCGAATCTGATATTAAGACCAACGTGTTATTGACTTCTTCAAAGTAACGGTAAGCGAAGGAGTTTGGGAAAATTCAGTGAAAATGATGCCATAAAATTACTATTCAACACGCAATCATAACCGCGCGTGTTTGTAGGATTTCCTAAAAAGAGATCCACAAACGAGATTTTTCTCTAATCATAACCTATAATTTCTTCATGACAAATAGAGGGTACATGCCACTCTACCCGTCCCCTTCCAGCTACAGCTTTAGGGTACAAGGGATAGCCTGCCAATAAAATTTTGATTCGAACTATTGGCAGACAGAAGTTTCCCAGGGAAAGTGACAACGCGACCTCCTTTAATTTGGCACCATTTACTCACCAATTCCAGAAAATGCATCTCCTCCATTAGTTTCTGGATGTTTTTGTTACACTGATTCCGAACAGAATCCACCTGGTAACAAAATCACAGTCAATATGTGAATCAACTAGAACACAAGTAGAGGCTCAAAACTATCAAACCACACTTTCAAACGCAGGGCAGATTCGACATCGCTGCATCTCCCAGTATGCAGTGCGCTTGTCATAAACGAATCTAGCACATCCCTTGACTAAACAACAAGTCCTCTGTAACTCAGTCCAGCATTCGTCAGCAAAATTAAAACCAGCTACGGTCCGAATCATCACAAGCTTTCTTCGTCCCACCACAATCGTAAATGTTTAACATAAAAACGTTATTCAGTTTGTCAAGAAAGTTGGACAATAAAAAATATTAGATTTTCGCCAGGGATCCCCACAGGGATATGTAAGTTGAGTCACGCCATTAATAGAATCATGTGTGACGAGCTCCCTGATTTTTGGGACCAGCAGCGAGTCAAGTAGTAAAATATTTCTTTATTTCTCTTAAGTCGCCATCTTTCACCCTTTCACCTCATCATTCTTTTCACTCCATGTTCCATATATCTCTTAATTTGAAAATTGTATATCAAAGCAGTAAAACAGGCAGACAGTCATCTTTATGTTTAAATTCTCCGTACAATTACCTCTTCTCTTGTCCTCTTCCCAGCCTCCCTGAGAATCTTATTGATGACTTCTTGAAGCCTGCCCACTTCTTGCGTTTTCTGTTGCTCTCGGACAAGGGCCTGGGAACAAACAAAAAAGTTTATCTCTTTAAAGCGCAAAGTGAAAAAAAAGCGCGCACAATATTTACGTGTACAATTGTTATCTTTAAGGAAAGTAATCAACAACACAAAAGTCTCATATACGCAGTCCGTCACAAATTCTTAAACGAACGCCGATATACTTCACTAACCAGTTTATCATTCGCATAAAAACGGATGAAACCAAATTTCAATTTCAACACGCATTTTGTCATACAAGAGTTTCATGAAGTCATCTTCTATTTCATACCTGGTCTCTTTCAAGAATGGCATTTTCCACCATCTGTACACTGTCTCTGACGTGAGCAATAGCTTCAAACTCACGCTGTTCCTGATCAGAACTACCAAAGAATAAACACAACGCATTCAGAATAAAGTTCGTTTGCAGTCGTCATGTTCACCATGATTAGCACGTCGAAGGTACGTATTTGCTCCGTGTTCTTAAATTTTTTCAAATCGCAGGCTGTCTCTCCTGACCCCCTTACCCCAAGTACCTTCTTTTCTGTAAAACTTCCAATCTTTCTTCCAGCTCAGCTTTCTCTGATCTGAGCCGTCCGACTTCTTTAAGCGTCCCAGACAGCCTACAAATAAAATATGAGGGTTACAAAAATTGCAATTGGAGACTACAGAGTCATTATCCATTCCTAAAAATAAAAATCGTTAAGTGAAGTAAGGGAAGAGAAGAAATATTGAGTAAGTAAAAGAGAAGAAATATTGTGGAAGAACTGAGCATTGAAAACACGACCATCCAGGGGGTGACATTAAAGGGCAATTTTAGTAAAATACCGAGAGACCAGTACAACGACGCAAACGAAATACCCGAGGCACAGGTAGTTGAGCCAATTTCAATTGAGTGTCAGAAGCAATGAGGAACCGCTTTTGTCTCGCTAGAGCTGTGATTGGTCAAGAAAACTGCGGCTATTTTTGCATCCAATCAGATACAAAACTTGAGCCAATCGTAAGTCCTTGTCAGTTGCGTTTTCCCGCGCTCGACGCGGCCCTCTCTTTGAATTCTCATTGGCTTCTTGTGGTATTTCCCTTGATTCTGATTGGCCATTGTGATTTGCCTCAATTTTTCTGTCGTAATTGTTTTTTAAACACTCAATGGAAACGCGCATCAGTTTGAACACCCTACAAACAGGTTATTGTTTAGGATACAATAATGAAATAATATCATTCTCAAGAATATCAAAAATGTTAAAAGGCGCCCCAAACGGGTAATGTTGTAAATGTCAAAATATTCTTAGCCTTACATATTTCGTGCATCATTCAACGAAAAGTTTTCCACGATACGGTGAGTAAGAAAAAGGAAGAAAAGTTTCCAGCGGTTCTCAAGCCTAAGAGTTCAGATTGGTTTTGTTGTGACTATGACGTGTTTAGTCGTGTTATTGACTTGCACTGATTCGAAAGGAACACGCTTTTTAAACTGCGTTGTCTGTTGACGCAAAATTATAGAAAGAAACAGAAAAAGAAAGAAAAGTACAAGGAAAGTAAAACCATATCACCTCGACTCTAGTGCAATAAGAGTGGTTTGTAGTTGTTCCATTCGAGTGTCGACTTCAGGAAGGTCTTTGTTACCCTCATTTCCTCTCTCTCTCTCTCTATCCTGCAAGAAAACAGCTCGGGTAACATATCAAACTTCAGCTTTAAACGGAAACTAATCTACAATGTGACAACTTTTTCAAGTTATTTTCTGCGCGAAAACTGAAAAAGAGTGCCGTAAGGGAACGGAAAGTGGATCGGTTGGAAGATTCTCAGCACCTTTTTTAAAGTATAATGAACCCATATTATGATGATGAGTTTCATCTTCATCTCTTCTCAGTTCTGATGGTTAAAAGACGCCCACAGTCGGGTGCGTTTTGCGCGAAGAAAGAAAATTTTCCGCGGAAGGAAAGTTTTGCGTGACGCAAGGCAAGTTTGATCATCGCAGACTCCGCTCAAATCTTCGAGCAAAGGACGCTGCATTCTGAGTGAAGAAGACACGGTACAGAATACCGACCCTCACTCTAATTTGTCCCTCCATTATCTCCAGCGTTCTGCGAAGTTCTTCGTTCTGCGCTCTGGAGTTTTTCAGCTCAGCTTTGCACCTCCTGTCACAGAAAACAGAGACATACCGTTGGGAAAGAAACAATACTGCTTCGCAAAATTAATAATTCTATTATTTGAACAATTTTCAATTTAGCGTCAAAAGTAATTCGAGACTGAAAAAGGACTTCACTGGTTTTTCCTCACTACGCTCTGTGATTGGTCTAGAAAACTCGAACCTGTCTTTCAATCAATCAGGTTTAAAACAGAAACCAATCACTCATTCTAATTAATTCAGGTACATTGCTTGACTGTAGGCCGTACATGTGATCTACGGGAAAATACTGTTTTGTGCAAGCCAGCTGTGAGAACCGTAAGTACACTCTCATTGTAGTCGGTGGTCAGTTTGACTTTAAAATACACTGGTCCGTTCAAAGATCGTTGTACAGTACTTGTCAACCGATGTGTGGATCGCAAAAATTCCGCAATGCATGAAAAAAAATTTGAAGTTTGAGACTCAACGAATGAAGTTCTTCCAACTGGATTTACACCTGAGAAAGTAGAAATGATGAACAAACCTGAGCTCATTTCGAACTTCGTCTATTTCCTGATCTTGGGTCTGAGCTGTGCCGAGAAATTTTTCATGTTCCTAAAAATATGAAAATAATACTCAGAGACAATACTCCGGGACAACGTATGCACCAATAAGCTTTTAGTTTAAGACGATAAGCTCTGTTGAGACTTTTTCAACCTCACTTGTATTTTTCTTAAATTAAGTTTCACTCACTGAAGTGGAAATGACAGTTTGTTTGCCTGAAGATTTTAGGCAATTTAGAGCAAGCTGATACAAAAGCTTTCCCTAATTATAAGACCACACGAACAACAAATAAAATGTTCTCGTACCATCAGGTTTCAACTTAATCGTATGAGGAAAAAAGATTCGAAATTAAAAAAAAACCGACCATTGTATTAACTTTTCAAAACAAGGACTAATTAACGTATATCAAACAATAAACTTGACGCTCACAAATTATTTATTGTTTTGTTCTTAAAGGATAAATATAAATAAAAAGAGAGTTACGACGCTCTTAGTAGAGATAACAAGAAAAAAGGTCCTTTACATTGTAAATGATCGTTCAACAGTATTTTGCAAAAGTACGTTATTACTTTACGACATCATACAGACTAGAATTTCCACCATGTTTAGCCGAAATAAAATTTTGAGTACCAAGGCAAATTTTCGCACATTCGTGAAAGACAAATAAAAATTCTCGTTCCAATTCAGGAAAGATTGATCCCTTTAATTGCAACCGGGAATCGAAACAGTAATCAAAACACAAAGCCGTTGTATTCCATAAGTGTTACAACTGACCGATTACACGACACGTCTACATCAACCACGAAGGTGATTTTGTTCTGCGTTTGAAACGCTAAAACGAAACAAGAAAAAAAAAGTGTCTGCTGCGTTATATTAGCTTTATTGATACAAGGTTTTAGTGCATGACATCTCACTAAGCCTTATGGTAGCGTTCTCCGCGTGGGGGGAAGGGAGGGTGGAGGTCGAAATCCTAGCCTAGTAATAAGAAGCACTACTTAACCTTCTTGTGACGATAAGGGTTTCAAATGTGACTGATTCAATAAGTATCATAAACTAAAACAAATTATTGTGTCTAAGTTTTAGAAATGGTAGCAAAATTTGAGCCTAACTTCTATGTGACTAGACCTGTCCACAAGGCCCTGGGAACAAGGCTAAATAAGTCTCACCCCTTCCCAACTCTTAAAATATTCTCACCATTCTCAACTTTCTGTTTATTGACTGAAGTTCCTCAGCAAATTGCCTGGCTTTGTGAAGGTCATTCTAAAGGATTAAGAAAACAAGCCCAAAGCAGATCTATGATGAAGCTTACACCTACAAAATTGTGCACAAGCACAATTAAAAACAGCAAATTGCTGTTTTAGATGTAATATCACTAACATTGCACGACAGCTGATGTTTGACAAATAACATCCCAAACCCAATGCAGGATACAATTCATAAAATTGAATGGACAAAACCACTTTGCACATAATAATGCTGCATTCAGGATATGTTGCTAGGACTGTCTAGACAAGGACTGTCCAGCAATTACTAACTTTGGGCAACTCTTCAATTTACTTTGCTTACAGTTAAGGTTAGGAGACCATAAAACAATACCTTAATGAAGAGGAAAACAACAACAAAAACAACAACTAATTACCAAAAATAAACAAGGAAAGCCTGACTATAACATGGTTAAGGTTCAAATAATGCCCTTGAAAATTCTAGGCTTAACATGACATGACTCCTTTATAAGGAACTACACTTAAAATTACCTGCAGGCTTGTCATTGCTCTTGTTCTTCCCTTCAACTCACCATCTTTTTCCTGCAACAGATAAAATGCATGCTTGCCTCTTTTTAACGAGCAACAAGAGAATTTGTTTGTATAACTTTATAAAAATCTAAGACAGAAGAAGACAGAACAAACCCGTTCAATTTCCTGAAGCTTTTCCAGTTCATTGCAAGCATTTTGCCACAGGTCCACATAGCTGTCTCTTTCCTTGAATGTAAAACAACCAACAAAATTTGAACTTTGGTTAGCAGTAATCCTGCCTCTCTAATAGGCCCCCCTCTCAGACAAGCCCCTGATATCCTTCCTCTGA